CAAGGTTAAAGTGATTTATTCCATACCATTTTGCAGCCATGGCAAGGCCAGGCTGAGAGATGGAAGCTCACTGAGACAGTTCTCCTCTGCCTCCCCACTCTCCCTGGAGAACAGGCAGATTGATGAAGTACACTGCTGAGGGGAGCAGCGGGTGGGTCAGGAGAGGTCTGCCGCGCCATGTGGATCTCCTCCGGGCAGGTGGGAATAGAACTCATGTGGAAGTGACTTTAGCTTCTTAGTGCTGTGTTTTAACCCACTGTGCCACCAGGGAGGGCCTCTAAGCCCCTGCTATTGAGATTTTACAAAACTTCATCACATACACATAACATTGGCCATTATCCTTCATCTTCAGCCATTTTCCTTTCTCAAGATTAATAGGAGTTGGAGCTGAAAATTCTAAGACTTTTCTTATCCCTTAGTCTTTCTGGTGACCAGGAGCCATCCAAGAGCCCACCCAGAGCTGCCTCATTAGAACAAAAGACACTCCTATCAACCAGGATATTATAAGGGTTTCAGGAGCTCTGTGTCTGCAATCAAGGTCAAAAGCCAAATATTAAAGCAAAGATGCCATTAGTACTATATAGTACTATTAGTACTATTAGTACTATATAGTTCCCTTTGCTATTTCCAAGACTTTTAGGAGCTTTTTTGCCAGAAATGGGGACAAAGAACAAATACATATTTCTCACTATAAATCACAAACCTACATGGGAGCTACAGCCTTAAAAATAGTGTATCATTGAATTCATGAAGCATACATTAAAAATGTGTATCTTTGTTACACTTTTAAAATGACTTTTGAGGGCCTTCCTGGTGGTACAATGGGCAAAAGTGTGGCACTGTGAAGCTCTCTGCAGCCACCGCAACATGAGTTTAGTCCCTGGTCAAGCAGAGAGGTTAACTACATGGCATAGCAGACCTCTCCTGACCCACTCTCAGTGTATTTCAGTAAATCTGCCTATTCTGCTCCTTCCTCTGTCTCTGGTGAAATCTCTCACCCCCTGCACCTCTGGCTTGTACCCCAGTTCTTATGTGCATAAATAAATAGATCTTAAAAAAATAACTTTTGAGCCCCTAAACTTGTAGTAATTCAAAGTGGACTGTATGGATTTCTAAAGAAGACATAGTCTCTGTCCCTATTTCAGATATGACAGATTTCTGTTAGATGACAGATAAGTAAAACCGTCCTAAAGGGAAGAACCAAGTATCATGAAGGGTAACTGGAAAGGGAGTTCTTTCCAAAATGTAAAATATGGGTCTAGTAAGGAAATCAGTCCCCCTACTCTAGTCATAAGATGCCTCAAAAATGTCTGTAGGATTTGATCTTGTATGTTATCCTTTCTTCCTTTTATTTTTTAAAAGTTTTATTTATTTATGCATACAGAACTGGAGTACTGGTCAGAGTAGTAAGGATGGTGAGAGGATTCACCAGAGACTGAGTGGGGAGCAGAACAGGCAGATTGATGAAGTACACTGCTGAGGGGAGCAGTAGGTGAGACAGGAGAGGTCTGCTGCGCCATGTGGGTCACCTACCTGGCCAGCACTGAACCTGTGCTAAAGCAGATGCAGCTAGCTTTGTAGTGCTGTGCTTCAACCCTTTGCACCACCAGGAAGGGGCCTGCATTATCTTTTCTTTCCCCTGGATAAGAGTTTTATTAGTTATTCTGTCTCTGCTCAATCTTTGCAGTTTGCGAATGGAGTGTATGGAGTGGCAGAGAATTTATATTAGAAGCTATCCAAAGACTTAAGGACAGCTTGAGTGAGGACAGCTTGCTGGAGATGCTGGACTTGATGACTATGAATGAGACTTTGTCTCACTTCTAGAGAGACCGAGTGTAGGAAGACCTGAAAGATAGAGTATGCTGTTAACTAAATCCATTCTTCCTCC